CCTACACCACCAAACATTTCTTCTATACCACTCTTCCGTCGTAGTCGTAGCCAGGCCCCAAAACCACTAGAAGCGCAATTAGATTTTAGTTCGACAAAATAACTGCCCTGTAGTAGCAAAAATGAGCTGCTTAATTATTAGGCACGCGCTTAACCTTGGCACTCATAGCCTACAAAATGGTAGGAACGAGAGATTATTTGTGTGGTGTCTGCTCATTGCTGCTGTTCTTCTTTAAATGCGTATAAGAACTACGCGGGTTTTAATGCTTTTCGAGTAAAAATGTGAGCCTACAATGCAACTATTGCGCGTCTCAAGATCGGGTCCTTATCGATCCCCTCTTTCGTGTTCTCCCGTAGGACTTACATGTCTCCCCTGTCTTTTACTAGTTTGATGTTGTTTACACGTATAATCTGTGGTCGAACGACTTCCGCTAAGCAAGGCATGGGATCTATGAACTCTAGCTGAGGGACTACTGCGCATTTAGAGTAGTCCCCTAGTCTTCCTCTGGGAGACGCACGTTTGCAATATGGTCGCTTTTGTTGTTATTTTGCCGAATGTGAGAACAACATTGTTTTTGAAAGTACTGCTTAGCTAAAACGGTCATGCTATCAGAGATAAATGGCAAACAGAGAGGAAATCTGAGTCTGGTTGTTCGCTTTCGCAGATGTTTGCTTCGAAATTCGTTGGAGCGAGTAGCCATTATTGGCTACTATGGCAGATGCCAATGTTTTAGGTACTCACCACTACAGACAATTGCCACTGTTCTGCACATATAACGAATAATCTTGCGTTTCATGGCAGTGGGATAAGCAAAACGTACGTCTAGAAAGCGTTTTTAGAGCTCTCCTTCTGATGCCAATACTTGTACCGCTCCGTTGATCAGACTTTGCTGCGTTTAAAGTAAAACCACCAAGGGTTTTCCTCTTTTGATAATGTGATGTTTATTGGTCGAAAACTTTACAGTACTCATCCATTTCTGATAGTGTTGATATGACCATCGCTGTAACGATAGTATCTTATGGGACTCGTAAAAGCAGCGGCTGCTCCATTTTGCCCATGAAGCAGATAGCAAGTACAGCTAATCTTTCTATTGCCAATCTTATTACTGTCATGCTTAAGCGTCCGTCTCTGTAAATTTGATAATTATAACAAAATGCTAAAATATAGTTTAAGCGAACGCGGAAGTCGAGAAGACGATGTGCTTGCAGTAGGCATGCAAACATGATTCCTTAAATAATGCATGTATTCACCACAATTTGCTCCAGGCACTGGATATTTCTGCCAAATGAATTATATTTACAAGATCTCATAGTTTAAGAGATGAAGAATGCCTTTAAAGCCAGTAAGCAGAATCAGAGCAAGTGAGAGGTTAGCACTTTTGCGCTAAGCATGTGAATAAAAATTTGCGCTGGGAATCCTGCCTTAGAGTTTAAGAGTGTCGTTCCTCTTACAACTTAGAGTGTAAATGCCCGTGTTGTGAGAATGAGCTTGGAATTTTGAAATGTAAGGATCTTACTGCAAATTTTTGCTGATTTAGTGCGAGAGCGCTAATAAGGTCAATTAATAAGTCTACAAAAAACGTTTTGAACAATTTGAAGTTGACGTTGTACGCACTTCTTCGTAGTTCTTCGCGGAGAGAAGTTACCTTTTGTACAGCATGTAGAAGAAAAAAGTCCTGCCTTCACCTCCTACTTCGGACGTCATCAAATTTAGTATCAGGTTGCACAAAAAGCCACGGATATTGGAACAAAAGGATACGTCAACGACTGCCATGGATAGTTTTATGCTCTCCACTACAACGCCAGCACAGCCTCCACCAACGCCGACCTCCAAACCCTTCTCAAAAAAGCACGGCAAACGCCTTGCAACAAACAAAGTCCAGGAGAGTGAAGATGATGGCAATCTCATCA